GTCAAGCAGAGGTGGGAGCTGAGGACTTTCTCCATCCGTCTTTCCTGAGCATAAGTTTTGCATATGCATGTCAGCTTCCAAATCCCAATGTTGTTTAACAGTGCTGTCGGCTATTGTCAACGAATGCCAGAGAAATAAGGCTTTTTTCACATGTTGAATAAGACATGAGGTGGGGGTGAAGGTGGTAAAATGGCTCAACTAGTTAATCCTTCACCACCAAGTGCCAGCATCCCCTATGGGGGCAGATTCATGTCATGGCTGCCCCACTTCCCGTACAGCTCAATCCCTGTGGACTGGGAAAGCAGTGGAGGTTGACCCAAAGCCTTGAGACTCTGCACCAGCATGGGGAACTTGGAGGAAGGTCCTGGCTCCTCACTTCAGATCAGCTCAGCTCCGGTTGGTGTGGCCATTTGGAGAATGAACAAGCAGATGGAGGATCTTTCTCTCTGTCTCTCCTCTCCGTAAATCTGCCTTCCTAATGCAAATAACTGAAAGGAATGAAAGGAGAGAGGGAAGGAGGGGTAGAAGGATAAAAAGAGAGAGAGAGAGAGGGAGAGAAATATGGATGGAACTAGTGTGGTGGCTCAACAGGCTAATCATATGCCTGCACATGCCAGGTTCATATTCTGGCTACTTCATTCCCTTCTAGCCCCCTGTTTGTGGCCTAGGAAGGCAGCAGAGGATGGCCTAAGTTCTGGGGCCCCTGCACTCATGTGGAAGCTCTGGAAGAGGTTCCTGGCCCTTGGCTTCAGAATGGCCCAACTCCAGTCATTGTAGCCCCTGGGACAGTGAGCCAGCGGATATAGGATCTCTCTCTTTCTGTCTCTTCTTCTCTCTGTAATATAAAATTACAATAAATCTTAAAAAGAAAAAAAAAAAAGACATGGGGCCTGGCGGCGTGGCCTAGTAGCTAGTCTTCGTCTTGAATGCACCAGGATCCCATATGGGCACCGGTTCTAATCCCGGCAGCTCCACTTCCCATCCAGCTCCCTGCCTGTGGCCAAGGAAAGCAGTCGAGGACGGCCCAAAGCTTTGGAACCCTGCACCAGTGTGGGAGACCCGGAAGAGGTTCCTGGTTCCCGGCTTCGGATCGGTGCAGCACCAGCCGTTGCACTCACTTGGGGAGTGACTCATCGGACGGAAGATTTTCCTCTCTGCCTCTCCTCCTCTCTGTATATCTGACTTTGTAATTAAAAAAAAAAATTAAAAACAAAAAAAAGACATGTCCTGGGAATGAGGCTTTTCCAGAGAGCTGCCAGATAAGTCACACGGTGGTCCTTCTTGGGGAGGGGGAGCTCCCACGTCACTTTGCTTCCTTCAATGGCTAGCAGGCACTCCTTTTCACAGCCAGCTTTGTGCAAGTCGGCTAGGTGTCCAGGCTACTGCAGAGCCTGGGGAAAAGGAGGCAGAACTAGGGCAAACTGAAAAACAGTCAAGGTAGGCACTGGGCAGAGCAGTGAAGGTGCAGTTTAGGATATCCTCATCCCTTATTGAAGTCCCTGGGTTGAGTCCCACCTAAGCTCCCGATCCAAGTTTCCTGCTAATGTGCATCCTGAAAGACATCGGGTGACGAATGGCTCAAGTTCTTGGATCTCTACCACCCATCTAGGAGTCTAGATGACTTTCCCAGCTCTTGGCTGCGGCATGACCCAGTCCCAGTGAACTGTAGTCATTTGGGAAATGAACCAGTGGATAGAATCTCTCTCTCTCTCTCTCCCTCTTTCTCTCTCTCTCTCTTTTTTTTTTTTATGTCTTTCAAATAAAATGAAAACACATAAGAAATGTTAAGCCATTGCTCCTACTGAAGACCTGTTTTTTTAAATCAATGTTGGTTTCAAGTCTTTGGCTGAGGGTCCTGAAAAAAGGGACCTTGACCATATTTTGCCAAGGTTCTTACTGCTTTTTAGAGAGTAGATTTTCTAAGGTGTTTACTGCACCATTCAAGAAGCACTTTCCTATTTGCTTCCAGTGCTATCTTTTAACTAAGCAGATAAGAAAGCGTGCAAAAGTACAGAATGACAACCATTCGGCCAATTAAAGACCATATAAGAACCCAACTGCGCAAAGGAGAGGAGGAAAAGTTCTTTTTCCTCCCCGCAGCCCAGTCTGCAGCAGAACTCCTCCACGACCTTTGCTTTATTTCTTGTTTTCACAGGTCACTGACTCAATCCTGCCACACCACAGCCTGTGGAATGGAAGAATTGCCCACTTGGCACCACTATCACATTTTCAGCCCTGGAAAACACAAATAAGCATTCACCAGCCCTGGAATCCCAAGGCAGACCTCAAATACCTTGCTGTCAAATGAGGTAAAGTTTATAGAGATCAAAAGCCAATGCACTCAAAATAGGTACTCTGGGAAAAAAGTAAAAGTCCTTGGAGTGATGGAATTCCGAGTTTGGAAGACACTCCGAAGGCCAGCTGGTCTTGCTCTCCATGTCGAGCCTGAGACAGCCCATCACAGCCCCTCTCCATCCAGTTGGTCCCATCTATGGCCACCTCCCAGGTGCGGACAACTCGTAACTTCCTTAGTTGGACATCACCATCTCTTACAACTTTCTATTTTGTGTGAATAGGGAGCTCTACTTAGAACTAAGAAGCTGGAGAAAATGAGAAGTGGAAAACTAAGACTTTTCTGAACTAATCTGAACATTTAGAACTACTCCAGATGGGGAGGTCACTGAACTTTTGCAAATGGTTTTTAAAAATTGAGGAGTGCTTCTCTTCTGGGAATTCACCTTTTACCTAGCACCTCAGCAGATAAACACTTTGAGACAGAGGAAATTCATTGGCTTTAAAATGAAAGTCTAGCCCAATTCAATGGAAAAGTTATCAGTAGGCAAAGGCAGAACAGATATTAAGAACAAATATATGAAGTTAGACCAATCTAACCAATTTGATATTTAGCTCTGCTACTTTTTTTGTTGTCGTTAAAGGTTTATTTTACTTTTATTGTAAAGTCAGATATACACAGAAGAGGAGAGATGGAGAGAAAAATCTTCTGCCTGATGATTGATTCCCCAAGTGAGCACAACGGCCAGAGCTGAGCCAATCCGAACCCAGGAGCCCGAAGCTTCTTCTGGATCTCCCAAGCGGGTACAGGGTCCTAAGGCTTTGGGCCGTCCTCAACTACTTTCCCAGGCCACAAGCAGGGAGCTGGATGGGAAGCAGGGCCACCGGGATTAGAACCAGCACCCATATGGGATCCTGGGTGTGCAAAGCAAGGACTTTAGCTACTAGGCTACTATGCCAGGCCCCTCTGCTATTTTTTAAAGATCTGTATGGAATTGGAGGAGTTAGCTGGTTTCTCTCAGTTGCGTTTTCTCTGTCTGTGAAATGGGGATAATTATAGCACCTATCTCACTTGAGGGCAGCAGGAGTTAGATAAAAGTACTTGGTACATAGTGAATACTACCGCTTAAAAAGCATTGGTTTATGGGGTCAGTGTTGTGGCATGCTAGTTAAGCCACATATCTGGCATCCCATATCAGTGCCAGATCATGTTCTTGCTGCTCTACTTTCAGTCCAGCTGCTTGCTAATGCTTCCAGGAAAGCAACAGAGGATGGAGGCCTAGTACTCGAGTCCTTGCATGGGAGACGCAGATGAATCTCCTGGCTTCAGGCTAGCCTGGCTCTGGCCACTGAACTCTAGAAGTAAATCAGAAGATAGAAGACTTTCTCTCTCTCTCTCTCTCCTCCTTTGTCTTTCAAATAAACTCCTCATTCTTTTTATTTAAAAAAAATAATTTGATTCGTGAGCCTAATGAAAACATGCAACCAGTGTTTCACCAAGGAAAAATCATGTTGAATAAATTGCATTTTTTGTTTGTTTGTTTTATACAGTTACCAAGCATTGTCACACACTGTTGGTTTAATTCTATGAAACTTAAACCAGTAGATGGAGCAGTGAGAGACGGACTGGATAGCAGTACAGTTGGGTGGGTCTGTAACTGCCTGACCAAGTAACAATGAATAAACTCCCTCTCATCTGAAGGCCGCTTTCTAATGGAATGTCATGAGCTCCAGTCTTGGCCTCTTCTGACTCACTAGTCTTCTTAAAGGTAGGAAAGAAGACACATAAAACACCATGCTGGCCTGGCAAATTAATGTACCAGCATAAAGACCCAGATTTACCCTGTCAAAACCTAAAATTACATTAAAGAGGGATACTGTCATATTAAGTTTTTAAAAAAATATTAATAAGATGAACGGAGTCTGGTTGAGGTGTGAATTATGTGGTAAGACTCATGGATTCATTCATTCACTCATTCAATGTACTCTAAAGATAAAAGAACAGGAGTGAATGTTTGACCTAGTGGATAAGCCTTGGTTAAGAACCACACTGGAGTGAATGGATTTAGTAGCAGGCCGGTCTGGGTCTGGTATTGAAACTAGATGACTCCAGTTTCCGGCTAATGCAGACCAAGAGATAATGCAGGGGTGATGTCTCCGGAGATTGGATTCCTGCCACTCACATGGCAATCCTGGATTAAGTTTTGACCCCGCCCTGCCCTGGCTACTCCAGGCATGTAGGGAGTGAATCAGCCAAAAGGAACAATTTCTTTTCCTGTTTCTCTATTTCTAAAGTATATATATATATTAATATGGAAAGACATAAATGTCTACTCTCATAGAGTTCAGTCTACTGGCAAGATAGACCTAGGAATGCCTCTCCCCTTTTGATGGTAAGTTCTAAGATGTAAAAGGAATAAACAGCATGATCAGAGAAGAAAGATCATCAAGCAGTGCTTTACAGAAATGAAAGTAAGATGGACTTGGAGAAGCAATAGGCATTTGCCAAATAACCTGGCTTAGGAAGGGATGACTTCCCAGGTAGATCCTACAACCTGTGTTAAAGCCCTCAGCCACAGCTAGGTCTCCGAGTTATCCCTCAACAACTTACATGCCCCTTCGGGATTTGGAAAGAGTAAGAGATAGACCTACCAGGCCCCTCATTTCCTACCAGTTCAAGTGCATCCCTGGGGGCAACTGCACCTTACCGTAGGTGATGCCAAGCAGCACAAAGTTCAAGTTTTTGAAGAGCCGGACGATGGAACTCCAGTACGAAGCATCTTGGGATGCCAAGGCGTAGCTCAGGGACTGGGCCCTGCTCGGGGGATGTTTAGGCTTCTCCTTGAATACTGAAAGGGAACAGAGATGTCTGAGAATCCCTGTGGTCCCCACGCAGCAGAGCTAGCTGTACCCAGACCGGGACTAGTTCCATCATCTTAGAAGGGGCTGAAACAGCCAATGGAAATTCCCATTTCTTCCTATGAGACCCTTACAGCCTCCTCTCTCGAAGCTTCTCCCCACTGTCTGAGGCTGAGCCAGGGTCCTTTGATTCCTTAACAGCCTTTGGAAGATGAAACTCATCAGGCCTCCCAGGCAGCGTTCAAAGATCAAAGAGTTCCATATTAGCCAGCCAATAGTACTGCAAAACATAAGAACAGCACATGGAGGGAAAGATGTGAAGGCTGCAGAGTGGTTAGTGAGCCTAGTTCCTGGCTTAGAACACAGCTCCTGCTGAGAGCGCAGGAGAGGTGTTGCTACACTTAGCGCACAGCCCAGCAGCCATTGAGTATTCCCTTAGTAAAAGGCATCGAGCCCCTTCCTGGCTTTACAAAGTCTGAATTCAACATCTTTCCTAGGAAGGAAACCAGAGTATTAATACTCCCCTCCTCTGGAAGTGGACATTTGACTATGAAGGGCTGCAGAGGGACAATGAAAAAATCACTCAACTGGTGTGATCACCTTGACTGTAATGACTGCCACTCCGATTCCTGGAGGGAGCAGATGAGCTTAATGAGTTGTTTGGCCAAGAGGGTCCAAGCCAGCAACACACTGCCTCCCCTACACTCCTGAAAGGTCAGTAGACCTTTCCCAGCTAGAGGGAGGTCTGTCTGGGATTTGCTCTCTGAACACAACAACAACCTCCTCTCCCCTACACCGGGCAAACACCCTAGCACCCACCGCAAAACCCCACTTCCTGTCTCTGTGGAGATAATCCTGGATAATTCCACCCACTGCAATCCCTCCATTGTCTCCTTCCTGGGGAGAGAAAACAAGGCCGGAAAGTGCCTATGTCTGCCTCAGCAGGTGCTGCGGTTCCAGGACTTAGCAACAGAAATCAAAATCCAGATAAGATTTTTCAGGGTAAGTCAAAACACAGAAACATCCTACCCTTCAGGCTTTCATTTGCAAAGAGCCAAGACTCTACCTGCTACAAACCAAGTATTTGCAGCTACACACTTGATCATTTAAAACTGATAATCTGGCTAAGAGAGGAAGAAACTGCTGACTGTATCAATAGTCCCTGCTTTCATCCATAACTCCCCTGCTTCTTACACTTCCTGGAGCATCAAGACTTTGGTCCAGGGCATTCTTTCAGCAGCTCTGTCTCCACCTCAACGCCCACAAGGGAAGAATACAGTGAGTGCCATTTGGCTCTGGAGGGGAGACTGGGGGGCAGAAATGAAACCTTGAACATGTGAGGTGTAATATCCAGGTATCAGAGGGAGAGCTGGTTAACCTTTAGACAGTGACTAATTAGGAAAGAAAACCTCAACCTTGATGTTTCTGAATTAATTATAGCCCATATAATATCACTCAGATGAAAAATCATGCTATAAACCAAACGCCTCACTGATTAAATATACCTGTACATAAAAAGCAATGCAGGAGTTATCTGAGGTCAGAAGCTGCTTGTTCAAGGAAAAATTCATGATCATTCCTTTCCTTATGCTATACTTAAATGTTTTATTTATTCATTTTTATTGATTTGTGAGGCAAGTTTGTGTTACTTTACTCCCTAAACGCCACAAGACCAGAAGCAGAAGCCTCAGCCTGCTCCTCTCCGTGTGCCACCTGTTTCTGCCTCTCAAGCTGTGCGGTTAGCAGAGAGCCAGAATCAAGAGCAGAATCAGGGCTGAACCCAGGCACTCCCATATGAGATTCTGGAGTCTCGACAAGCAATTTAATCGCTCGGCCAAATGCCTGCACTGCTCTTCTCGTTTTTGAGATTGTCCCATAATGAGCACACTTAAATGTGCTCCACAAGTATACTCAGGTTAGTCCAGGAGAGTATTAGTGAATTCTGGGTCATTTTCTGCCTTTCTTCTATTTTTTTTTTTTTTCAGAGTATGCAGTTACATAAGCATTGACTTGAATCCAGTGTCTGCCATCCTCTAGCCATCCCATATTGAATGACTCACTTCAGTCCCTGTAGGTCACATCTTCCTCCTAGGGCTGATCTTAGCACCCCACACTTACAGCCATTGAACGCATGCCATCAGGCAGGTTTCATTCAGGGCCCGTGACATCCCACGTGCTCACTGGCATTACCGAGGAGCCCCGCCGCATAGCCATTACTGCTGTGAGACAGGACTAACAAAAAGCTTCATTCTCATCAACCCTTTACTGAGCCACTAGCAGAGTGCACAGGACCAGGATGCCAGGGAGAGCCGTCTAGCCTAAAACATTCCAAGACAGCAGGAATCCCAGCCTTCTGTTTCTGTAAACATCCATGGTATTTTATGGCTATGTTCACAAGGGCCCCACCCAAGTACATTCCATACCTCTCCACCTTTCTGCCTCTGGCCCGTTCAGTCCAATGACCTTACCGATGATGACAAGGATGAACAAGAGTGTTGCCACGCCTCCGATGATATAGAACATGATGCTGATGTGATAGGCAAGCTTGTCCTGGTCTTTGATGTTGGGTACAAGCACAGGAGGGACCAAGAACCCGATTGCAATTCCAAGCTACAGAAGAGAGAGACAATCAGTTACAGTTTGCAATGGACAGGAGGTGATGACACAGGCTTAAAAAAGACTCCTTAGGAAAACAAAGAATAACATGATTCCCAATCTTGATTTCCAATCCATCTTTTTTTTTTTTTTTAAGATTTATTTATTTTTATTGCAAAGTCAGATACACACAGAGGAGGAGAGACAGAGAGGAAGATCTTCCATCTGATGATTCACTCCCCCAAGTGACCACAGCGGCTGGTGCTGCACTGATCCAAAGCCAGGAGCTAGGAACTTCCTTCAGGTCTCCCACAAGGGTGCAGGGTCCCAAAGCTTTGGGCCATTCTTGACTGCTTTCCCAGGCCACAAGCAGGGAGCTGGATGGGAAGCAGGGCCACTTGGATTAGAACCATTGCCCATATGGGATCCCAGCGTGTTTAAGGCGAGGACTTTAGCCACTAGGTCACTGCACTGGGCTGGACCTTATATTTCTTTTCCAAGTTTCCTTCTGAGGTCATGGAGGCAGGATTAGCTGACCAAAGAAGTTGACTTCTTAGGATAAAGCTCCTTGAGGCCCACCCCATCCATTTTAAAAGAGGAGCTAAAGTTCTCGCCCTGAACGCACCAGGATTCCTGCTTATGGCCTGGCAAAGCAGTCGAGGTCTCAAACGCAGGTGCAGGATCTGGCGCCCATATGGGATCCTGGCACATACAACACAAGGACTTTAACCAGTTGACTACTATAATAGTCCACTCCAATCCATCTTAAAACCCAAACCAAGATCATTGCCCAACTTTAAGAGAGCAGAGTACCTTTTCTTTTTAAATATTTATTTATTTGAAAAACAGAATTAGAGAAAAGAGGAGAGACACAGTGAGATTTTCCATCTGATGGTTCACTCCCCAAATGGTTGCAACTGTCAGAGCTGAGTCCATCGGAAACCAGGAACCAGGAGCTCCTCTGAGTCTCCCATAAGCCTGCAGAGGCCCAAGTATTTGGCTTAGGTTCTGCTGCTTCCTTGGGCACATTAGCAGGGAGCAAGAGCAGAACTGGAACAGCTGGAACACAGGGCCCATAAGGGATGCCAGAGCCACAGGCAGCAGCTTTGTGCACTAGGCCACAGCATTGGCCCAAGAAATCTTTTCTTTTGATGACCACTTGAAACAAGACATATTTCTGATCACTGTGACTACCAACATCTATTTGAAAAAAAAAAAAAAAAGCTGAGTCTCAGTACACACTGGCCCTACTCTAGCTGCAAACCAATGAACGATGTGTCCTTTAACACCATCTCTGGAGAATAAAATAATGTTGTCTCTCTTCTTATGTCACTTACATGTCTAGTTTCACTGCTTTTGCTAGGTTGAAGCTGAGCGATCAGCTGGGGACACACTCTGCACATTACAATACCAAGACATTGTACTGAGTAGGATTTGGAAGTCTGAAGCCATCACCATGTTTACAAACGTAAAAGCTTCAGTTCACTGTGTGAACTAACTTAGTAATCTTCAAAGCATCTACAGGGTGATCACAAGCAACCGCATGCATGTAGACACCCAGGATATGCGCACAGGCAAAATGACTACACACACATACTTTTTCTTTCCAACAAATTAAGCCATCTCACATCTGGATTGGAGTCCAAACTCCAGTGCTGTGACAGATAATGTGACTTGAGGTGTTTCCGTGTCCAGAAATGCTTTTCTTCGATAGTAATTGCTCAAAGTGCTTCTGCCACACACAGCATCATGGTACAGACTGGAAAATAGCTTGTGAGCTCAGGGATGCTTCCAACTCCACAAGTATTGGAACATGAATAAGTCCTTTATTGTAATGGCTCACTTTTTCATTGTTGGACTTGAGCTGCAAGTAGAGAAGCAATTTGCATTCACTGCATACAACTACACATTCATTCACAGCCAATCTGCTGTTGGTCAGAACTGATTTTCCAATCTCATCTCACATGTCACATATGGATATCCAGTAACTGGTGGGTCCCAATTCTACATATTCACAAGAGGCATTAGCAATAGGCGGAATGTAAGGCTCCATCTGCCAGAGAATGAGCAACATATAAATCACATCTTTCAGAACTTCTACCGAAAGATCTCTCAGGGGGTAGCAAGGTGTGCAAAGTGAGGTCCCCGCTTGGAAAGGAGGCTTATGATGGGTGGAAGTACAGAAAGTGGGAATTTAAAAGAAAAACTCAAAAGACACCACCAATGGCTGAATTTGTGGGCTGAAATGAAGGAATGTAGCCTTTGGAAGGTGTTTTTGTAACCTTGAGGTTGTTTACTCTGAAGTTTAAGCAGCTCTTTCAGGGTTACACAGGGCACACAGTTGAGATGAGAAAACAGATCTGCTGGCCTTTCAGGACAGGGTTCTCCCACTTGGCCTGCAGCAGGGCCCTCCGGGACCGAGAGCCGTAAGGAAGGCCCTGGTGGGCAGGCATCTCTGGAGAAGACTGTACACGATGTTGGCATGGTGGCACCAATGCTCAGAACTGAGTCAGGCTCCAAGTCCTGATTGACAGTCTAAACCAGCCACACACACAGGGCTGTGATGGCTGGCTTTGTAGCATCAGCTTGAGTAGATTAAGGGATGGCTAGAAAGAGGGAAGTGTCATTTGGAGTGTGTATATATGAGGGTGTTTCCAAATGGGATTAGCACATAGTCTGAACGTGCAGGGTAGGAAGATCTGGCACCGATGTGGCCAGCACCATCCACTGGCTGGACTGGAGAGACTCAATATGGAAGGTAGATTGGTCTCAGGCTCTGAGAGCCGGAACACCTTCAACTCCTGCTGCGAATGTCAGCTGCTGGCCTTGTGCCTCCAGGACTTAGACCAGCAGCCCCCTTGCTGGAACTCAGCTGCTGGCCTCAACCTGAGAGTTACACCTCAGCTTTCCAGGTTCCAAGACTCCTGGACTTGGACTGAGTCATTTCACTTGACATTCCGGAGCCTGAAGGCGATGTGTCATGGGACTTCCCAAGTCTCTGCCACTCCCTCATTTCCAAAAAGAAAATAAAACCCTGAGTCCTCAAGGCAGGATAACCGAATCCCACTCAGTGTCTGCTTCACTGGCAACTGGAGTCAAACTCATACCCGACCCCTCGGACAGACTTTGTTTATGCCACCTACACACGAAGCCAGAGTGAGGTCCTTCTACCCCACAAAGCATCCAGGCTACTTCCAGAAAGCAGAAAGGAGTGGCAGGTCCTCCTGTGGCTGCTTGGCTGGCTGGCTGGCTGGCTGGCTGGCTGGCTGGCACAGCTGTCTCATGATGACCTTTCTCAAGGCGATGGTGGCCAGGATGTAAATTGCCCAGAATCTGGGCTTTTCCGCACTGGGCATTAAACAAAGCGTTAGGATTTGACTATCGCTATCTCTTCTGTTTTTTTGTTTTTTTTTCCAGACATATGTTCTTCCTACTTCATTAGAGCAGCCTTCAGTGAGTATCCCCATCTCTCTTCCCAGTTCCCAGTTCTTAAGTCTGTCCCACAGCAGGTGCTCGGTCTGTGGGGACTGCATGGACTGATGGATGCGTGGATGAACAAGCACATGGACAAACACGGATGGAAATCTTGGATGCACAGAGTTCTTCCCATCCAAACAGGTACAGGTTCTTTCTACAAAAGACATGGTACCTACAGTGGTAGAGGGGACAAATCACATATGGGAAAGTAAGAATGGTCTATCATTTCTTGAAGCTAGACTCTGTGCTGAAGCACCTAATATATTTCTTTTTTAGTTTTATCCCAATAATTTTACATCTGAAAGACCATCCAGGGTCACACAGGCAGCTAACAAAGAGTTGAGTTCCCAAGCCAATCCTGTCTCTCTCCTTCTCCTTGTCTCCCAGGAAGTGTCAGTGGATACTAGGCAGCCCAGAGGCCCAACATGCTCACCCACTTGAGTCCTGACACATATTTTGATAGGCTACCTCCACAGTAGAATGCAGAGAGACCTGGAGCCCAAGTAGCTGCAACATTAATTCCAAGAGTTATGAGAATGCTGCTCCTGGCACCCTTCCCATACTCACAGCAATGATCAGGAGTATAAATGACTAAAAAGCACTGCTAGCCAGTTTTGATCTGACTTATGTTGCTGCACTTATTCCAGCTTTATCATTCGCACCAAAGTACAACATCATGGGCAAAATACAAAATTCAGAGGTGAGTGTGGTGATACAGTGAAATTAAAGGGCTGGTTAGGATGCCTACATCAAATGTAGGAGTGCCAGTTACTCTAATTCTGCTCCAGCTCCCTGCTAAGGTGCCTGGGAAGGCAGTGGAAGATGGTCCAAGTATCTGAGTTCTTATTTCTGTTGTGGAAGACCCGGATGGAGTTCCTGTCTCTTGGCTTTGAATTGGCCCAGCCCCACCTGTTGCCACAATTTGGGAAGTGAACCAACAGATGAAAGCTGGCTCTTTCTCTTATTCCCTTTTTCTAGCACCCTGCCTTTCAAATAAATAAGACTTTCTCAAATGCAAAACCTACAGTCCAAGGCTAGCTCTTTATTCAGTTACTCTTCATTAAGAATGTGCAGTTGACGTGGAGTTAGGCTCTTCACTCCAGCCTGTCTGTCCCCCTGTGCCTCATGAAAAAGGTCATGTGCCTAACCCTGTTCTTCCTCCCTCGGGCCTAAGCTGCCTCCTGACTACAGACACTTTCACTAGCAGGCAATCGTTATCAGCTAGCGGGGGAGTTCTGGAGGAGACACTGGGCACAGATACCCTGATACCTTCCACTCGGCTCTGCCCCCCGCTGCTCCCCCCGGCAGCAAGTAATCCTGGGAAACAGAACCAGATTTTGACTTTTCACAGAACCCTACAAGGACTTGCCCTACAAAGATTCCAAACAGCCCACCATGTTTGGCACATGGTGGTGGGGGGACGGGAGACAGTTCTCTCCCCTGGTCAGCTGCTGGTCATTCATTTGCTTTGGGGAACTCTGACACACTGGCCTCCTCTGTGTCTTTTGGATGTTTAAAGCCTCCTCACACCCCATGGC